TGTGTGTGTGTGTGTGTGTGTGTGTGTGTGTGTGTGTGTGTGTGTGTGTGTGTGTGTGATTCGGTGGGGGTGGGAGGGGCGACCCAACCCCCACCAATCAATCAATCAAAAAAAAAAAGAAAAAAAACCAACTGTTTTGAGTCTGGTTTTGTTTTTGATTTTTTAAAAATAATTTTCATGCTCAAAAAATAAAAATAAAAATATGGGGATGTAGAGAGCAAAAAAATCTACACCCCCATTTTTTTATTTTTTTTTTCACTTATGTTTTACCTGCAAAAAAGGAATCCGCGGGCCGAGTTGTACCACGTTCAACTCGGTTTAACGCGGAGTTGCAACGGGAGTTGAATGGGAGTTGAACCGTTCAACTCAAGACCCCCGTTGAATCCGATTTCGGACACATAGATGACCGGGATTGTGTCGGCTGTGACGATGACGAGTTCCTTGATTTTGATCGCGACAACGAGAGCTGCAACCCCGACACTGACGAACACCACAATGGTGAGTCGGAACGTGCTGCTAGCTGCCACGCCCCACTACTCACCTATTGTGCAAATTCAGAATGAATCTCCGCTAGAACACGGAAAGATATAGTCCTCCTGCACCACTTCTCCTTCCCGTCGCCATCAGGTTAGCACCTCCCCCCTCTTCATACACCTTGGCTTATTCCCCCTGCGCCTGCCCTTCGCCAGCCTCACATTGTACTTGGCCGTCAACCAAGCCAGGTTCAACCACCATGATCAATGCCATCCGTATACAGCAAACGAATGTCAAGGTGACGACTCCGGTCACCGTACTACTTCATCGTCTTCACGAGGACTTTCATCCAAGAAGAAGAAAAACTGCCACGACGAACACAAACATCAGGATTCCGACGACTTTAACTGACAGCGCGACCACTTCCGGTACGAACGCGAGCACAAAATTAGCGCTTGTGACGAGTTCGAAGAGCACCTCGACAAATAACTACGCCGAGGAAGTCATGAAGACAGCCTCGACGAGTAGCCACCATCGATGGCCTAAATGTGCCAAACGAGAATGAATCTCTCGCTAAAAACTGGGAAGATTCATCCCAGGTAAGCGCTTCTTCCCTTCCTCCTTTTTCTTTTTTTTTCTACTAGCGCCACGCTGCGCTCACCTCGCTCCCCTTCTTCCTCTGCTCGTCGCTCCCTTTGTCATTCACATTACTGAGTCGCGCTATGTGTTCTCACGCCGCGCTGACTGGCGGAGCGTACAGACACACGAAAAGAAAAAGAAAGTCCTTTCCCCGATTAATACCTTCCCTCCTTGTGCAGGGCTTGTGCTAATTCTTCTCCCCATCGTTCCAATATTAACGGTTGTCTCGAAGGACTGCCTGTTGAGCAAATGCCTTGGTATCATTGTCAAACCCACCGGGCCCAGGTAATTCAGACTTGGAAGTACTTCAGTCATTTGCTTCAAGTGGACTACGAACTCAGGTATGTAGTTCAGTAGTTCAGGTATATAACATATGTTCGAATATAGCGTGCGTACGTACGTTGTATTGGAATACAACATACGTACATTGTATTGGAACACACATACGTACGTTGTAATCAATTTTTTGCAATTTCGAATTTTTTCGAAAAGAATCATAAAAATACGGAAAGAAAAAACTTGTTCAAAATTGTTATTCAAACAACTTTTGCCTGAGGGTCATTATGAAATTCCCAACCAAATTCGAAAACAAAAAAAAACAAAAACAATGGCGGTACTACAGGCTTCTGAAAGGTTGTACGCTAAAACTCGTTACATAACGTATGTACGTTGTATTCCAATACAACATACCCCATACGTTGTATTCGAATACAACGCACCCCGTACATTCTATTCGTAAACAAGGTACGTACGTCTTTTTTGGGTTAAACCACTAGTACCTTTTGCCGCGTGGGAAAATAGCGGGCCTCGGTTGGTCCTCTGACTTTTCTTTTTCGACGGCTGAAACGAAGTGACAACCGCCAAGCAGATTTATCAATGGCAGTCGTCGTCGGGCCCGACCTCCGAATCTTTAGGAGTTTACGAAAACTGCCACTTTTCCCTATTTTCCCAACACTGGCGAAGGTACTATTGGTTTAAGAAGGTAGTACTATGCTTGGTTGACCATCATCATTCTCAGAATACACTGACGATTAGTGCTCTGTTGTTGACCATTGTTGTGGCAGTAGAAATCTTGACCATCTATCCTTCCGTTAAGGGCAACGAACGACCTCGAGATATCATCATTGAGCTGACCGGCCGGCCCCTCGCAATTCAGAAATATTTCGGTTTTACTCATCATGTTCCATCATGGCATCATCTGGATTCGAACTCGGGTCTGTATTTCAATTATCTGACCTCCCCCTTGCAATTCTGAAATATTTCGGTTTTGCTCATTATGTTCCATCATGGCATCATCTGGATTCGAACTCGGGTCTGTATTTCAGTTATCTGACCGGCCCCTTGCAATTCAGAAATATTTCGGTTTTACTCATCATGTTCCATCATGGCGTCATCTGGATTCGAACTCGGGTCTGTGTTTCAATTATCTGACCGGCCCCTCGGACTTCACGGGTGTGTACTCACACTGAGCTAGGCTGATCGTTTCTGATTTCAATTCTTTGCACTGGGTCGGCCATTGCAGTTGCATTGACCGTTGGTGCTCTGTTGCCCAACGGTTTCTCAAAGCAGAAAACGCACAGTTGTTGACCACTCATGCTCCGTTGACCATCACTCTCAGAACACGTTGACCTTCCGTGCTCTGTTGACCATTGTGCTGAGAACAGAAATGTTGACCATTTATACTTCCCGCCGCCCTGTTGACCGTTGCTCTCAGAAATGCTGAGAACAGAAAGGTTGACCATTTATTTATTTATGCTGTTTTAAGTATTAAACTTTTACACATTGTTCTCAGAACATAAATGTTGACCATTTGCGATCCGTTGACCGTTGTTCACGCACAATATACATTGAGATTCCTGAAGTGACGGGGAAAAAAAAAAAAAAAAAAAAAAAAAACTGAGGCAGACAGCTCAGCTGCTATCGGCCCAAAACAAGAAGACCATAACTAACTCCAGTACATTACATTCTAAATGTACCTGGACAGATTCGGACTGACCATATACGCTGTTAAGGTAACTGGACGATTTTCAAGTGCAAGATACAGTCGGAGCTAGGCCTGCTGTCACCAGAATGGTCTTATAGGAATGCGAGGCCGATCGCCATACTCACACTTTTTTCTTTCTTTTCTTAATGAGCGAATCTATAGCTGCAATTGTAGTCAGATACGACGCGCTAATACGAGACTTCCAGCAAAACAATTTGCATCCCCCTTTACCCATGCAGGTCTATATATATATATCGTCACAAACAGAACTGCCCGGTAAACCGTAGGCAGAGAGAGAGAAGAAGACAACAAACGAGGGGCTGTGACAAACTGTTTCGTCGGAGTTTATATATATATATCGTCACATATATATATATATTTACATATCGTCAAATAGAACTGCCGACGGTAAACCGTAGGCAGAGAGGGAGAAGAGGACAACAAACGAGGGGC